GCAAATCGATTAATCATTGCTCAAGATATCTATTGAGCTGATGGGGTGAGCAGGGCACGGATACGGATGGCAACTATGAATCAGAGGTATAATGGTAGTATACTTCTGGTCACTTCTGGAGTGAAGCTGACTGGTACAACTTGGGGATCACAACCAGATACAGTGAAGACATCTGCCCTTGCATTTTGCTACTCTGCATGCCCAGTGTGGAACACATCTCACCACGCTAAAACAGTGGATGTGGCTCTTAATGAGACATGCCGCATTATCACGGAGTGTCTGCGCCCTACACCATTGGAGAAATTACACTGTCTAGCCGGTATTGCACCACCTGACAACCGCCGGGAAGTAGCAGCCAATAGTGAAAGGACCAAGGCAGTGACATCTCCAGCTCATCCCCTGTTTGGGTATCAGCCAGCACGCCAACGACTTAAATCAAGAAATAGTTCTCTAAGATCTACAGAGACACTCGCTGGAACACCTCAGCAAGCGAGAGTCCAAAAGTGGCAGGCTCAAACCCAGAACCTCAATCAATGGCTGATACCAAATGAGAGACTCCCCCCTGGGCACACAGAAAACTGGGCGACTTGGAAGTCGCTGAACAGGCTGCGCTCTGGCATCACGAGATGCAGAGCCGACCTTAAGAAATGGGGCTACAAAGTGGAATCCATGACATGCGAGTGTGGAGAAGAGCAAACCACAGACCACCTGCTGCAATGCAACCTGAGCCCTGCCACATGCACAATGGAGGACCTTCTTGCAGCAACACCAGAGGCGCTCCAAGTGGCCAGCTACTGGTCAAAGGACATTTAATAGAATACCAAGTCTGCAAATTTTGTGTTTTGTTTGTTTATTGTCTTTTTTTTAATGTAATACAAGTGGTTTGGTTTGCTCCTGACACGATAAATAAAATAAACCAACTACTCTTCCTCCTCATCCTAAGCTAGTGAGCAAAGGTATGTCTTCAGCTGTTTTCTGAAAGTGGGGAGGGGGGGCCATCTTTAACTCCTTAGGAAGGGAGTTGCAGAGGTGGGGGGCAGCCAAGGAGAAGGCCTTTCTCTCATTTCCACCTGCCGTGCTTGGGACGGGAGTGGGACTGAGAGGAGGACCTCCTCTGAATACCGCAGTGTCCGAGTTGTCTGTAGAGGGAGATGCGGTTTGTCAAATAGCCGTTTAGGGCTTTAAAGGTAAGAACCAGCATTTTGTATTACTTTGGCACATCTGAACACTTCTGCTTTGACTCTGGCCAAGCTGGTTGTGGTTGTTATAAAGGGTTTCCACTCCTGCTTAATATTTTTAAGACAAGCTTTCTCCCCTGGATACCTATTAATTTAACTGCAATGGCAGAAGAGGTGATAGCATTTTCAACGTTTGCTCCCTTACCTCATGCTGCTGCCTCATCAATTTCACAAGCTCTGCATATTGGGCAGCCGTTTCTGGAGAGATGATGGCTCCACGTCGCTGCCCAAGCGTGAAGTCCTCCTTATTCACAGGGGCCTGAGGTACCTGAAGGAAAAGGGAGGCAGGGGAAATAAACCGCAGAATTAACCACTCTCCCCAAAAGATTCCCAAAGTTTTTTCTCTACTTTTTTCCTCTGGTACCATAAATAGGAGTGCCACCCAGCCGTCAGATCGAATCCTTCTAGAGTAAAATTTGTTTTTTTAGTTGCAGCATCATGATGGTGCAGCAGGTTAAACTGCTAAGCTGCAGAACTTGTTGATCAGAACATGGGCAGTTCAAATCCACAGAAAGGGTGAGCTCCTGTTGTTAGCCCCAGCTTCTGCCAACCTAGCAGTTCAAAAACATGCAAATGTGAGTAGATCAACAGGTTCCGCTTTGGTGGGAAGGTAACACCGTTCCATGCAGTCATGCCGGCCACATGACCTTGGAGGTGTCTATGGACAACAGCAGCTCTTCGGCTTAGAAATGGAGATGAGCACTGCCCCCAGTCAGACACAACTAGACTTAATGTCAAGGAGAAACCTTTAGCTTTCCACATGTTGCAGGGTCAGCTAAAGTCTGCCCCTGCACCATGGTTCTCTGCACTGTCATGTTATTCTGAAAACCTGGATTGCTGGTAGATTTTCACGTTATAATCTGTCCAGAGTATCTACAGTCTCATGTTTGTATCTGCCCACATCCACCGAGGTCCACAGAGGATGGATTACCTTTGTTATGTCAACTGGGAGCCCATTCTGGGAGGCCTCAATCATGGGGTCCAGACCCTTTGCCTGGCGCAAGAACATCTTAGCACCCTCAATGTCATTTTGCTGCTTCGCTCTGAGGGCAGCCTGCATCAGTTGCTTCTTCCGTGTCTCCAGGAAGGTCAGCTGCTGCTGAGCTGAAGGGGCAATGGCAAGGAGAGAGGAGTTACATGGTTGAGAAGAGACATCACACTGGCAACAAAGATCCGCCTAGTCAAAGCCATGGTATTCCCTGTAGTAACCTACGAATGTGAGAGCTGGACCTTAGGGAAGGCTGAGCGAAGGAAGATAGATGCCTTTGAACTGTGGTGTTGGAAGAAAGTTCTGAGAGTGCCTTGGACTGCGAGAAGATCCAACCAGTCCATCCTCCAGGAAATAAAGCCCGGCTGCTCATTGGAGGGAAGGATACTAGAGACAAAGTTGAAGTACTTTGGCCACATCATGAGGAGACAGCAAAGCCTAGAGAAGACAATTATGCTGGGGAAAGTGGAAGGCAAAAGGAAGAGGGGCCGACCAAGGGCAAGATGGATGGATGGCATCCTTGAAGTGACTGGACTGACCTTGAAGGAGCTGGGGGTGGTGACGGCTGACAGGGAGCTCTGGCGTGGGCTGGTCCATGAGGTCACGAAGAGTCGGAGACGACTGAACGAATGAACAACAACAACTTTGTTTCTGTTGTGGGCAACAAGGGAATTCTGCCTGCATGAGGGATACATAGTATTCTTCAGTCAGGTATATGTACAGAAGAAAGAGTCATGGCTTACTCTATGATTGATATCCTGTTGAGTATTTACAATGCCATAAACCAGACTTTGAACACTGCACAAACTGGAATTGTGACCATTGCCACAGTCACAAATGCTTCCTAAAGGCAGCTGAATGAATTGAAGTCATTGGGAATTTTGCACTATACCTCACTAGCAAGAAGTAACTGGATGTGTGCTTCAGCACCACAGTCCTTGGCATCTCAAAACACCTTCATTTGGTTCTGAGCATATGCAGGATCTGAAGCAATGCAGGATCTCGACTGGAGGATATTAGTGCAATGACAGAATATTTGCTCTGGAAACAGGCTTTGCAGTTAGTGCTAAGTGGCTTCTGAATCAAGGAAGATTGCTTTAACTATGGTCATTAAGTTGGACTGTGGCACAGCTGTCTGAGTGTCAGCTGCATTAAGATCACTTCTGACCACAAAGTCATGAGTTCGAAGCCAGACCAGATCAGAGTGAGCTTCTGACCAATTGTGTAGCTTGTTGTCGACCTTTGCAACCCGAAAGACAGTTGAATCTGTCAAGTAGGAAAATTAGGTACCACCTATGTGTGGGGAAGCTAATTTAACAAAATTTACGAAGCCATAAAAAAGACTCCAGCAAAAAGCATGCGGGGAATGCGGAAGTACTTCATCAGCATCGCAGATGGATGATGAAAGAGACAGCTCCCCTGGCGGCCAGAAAAAAATTAAATAGCCTTTGACTGTTTGTCTATTTCTGTTGTGTGTCTTTGGCATTGAATGTTTGCCATATATGTGTACATTGTAATCCGCCCTGAGTCCCCTGTGGGGTGAGAAGGGCGGAATATAAATACTGTAAATAAGTAATAAATTGGACGAGGGTATGAAAATAAAATAAAAATAGACTAGAATGTTACCTCTTGCAGTGACTTTTGAGGCACTGTTACTCATTCTGGTTGACTTTGGAGCAGGAGGGGCAGCGACGCGTGGGCCTGGTTGATGTGAGTTGCCTGGTTTGGATGATGCCGGGCTAAGATCAGGCTGAAAACAGTGAGGAGAGACACCCAATAATTACTTACGATGCCATAAAAGCATAATCTTTGCACATTGTGTATTTTAAAGCAGGTAGAGAAGTCCCGACTTTACAAGTGACATTCATCTAGGCTTAAAACCAAGATGGTCTATCCTGCAGCTGAATTAATACTATCATTGACATCAATGAAAGGAAGAACTCTGTGAATTGTATTGGGACTTCTGGGCTCTTGTGATGCATTATAACAGAAATACAAACATTCAGATGTTTAAGTACAATTCCCATCACAATGTACCATGCTGGTAGGACTGAAAGGAGCTGCAGCCTGATAACCTTTGGAGAACTGTGGTTATTTTGCAATTTGGAAAAAGATCTTTTAATCTGTCCCATTTCTGTTGTGAAGATAAATAAACAGAGCCAAAATTGAGCATATCTCAGATGCATCATTTAGCAGGAAGATGAAGAAGCACTTTCTCCCATGTTCTCCTCTTTGAGACCTATCTTTTGCAAATGAGATGACAGTTGACTCTTGGGGACTGTTTGTTTTCTAATTTTTTTGTAGGAATGTTCATCTGGATAACATTTCCCCAAATGTTTAGACACCATGGGTGTTTTATAGGATCTTCCTAAAAAAAACAGTTGGCAGCTTTGTACACTCCTTTTTCTCTCACTGTTTAGTTTTAGAACAGACAGTGTTAGGTTTCTATATATCCACTTGCCAGCAGCGGGCAATGTGTCTCAGTTCCAGGCACCCAGAAGAAAATCCATAATAACAACA